CTTAAGTGTGTATGTGTGGGTTCAATATGCATGACATCCTGCAAGACTTCTTGGCAGATTTGCAGGTCCAAACCCAGGTACCCGTTGTCAGGGGTGAGTAATAATCGGTTCTGGTTTGTTCCGCTCATTTTTCAGAGCAAACTATACATCATTACATTTCATTGCCTGCACTTTATTATGTATTATTATCAGGGCCAGATAACTGTGCATGGGTAATAAAATGAATCCAGCTATACAACCCACTCCTACCCTCCCCTCCTACCTGAGAGACCACGTCTCTGTTATGAATTAAAACACAGTTTAGTGCAAGTTGGCTTGTCTGGGCTGGCAGAGAAGCACACTGTTACAGAGGTGATTGCTTGTGAGAACTTGGCACTGTATTTGTGAAATGAAATGTAATTTCTAAATTCTCCTAGTGGCAGCTAGTGTCAGGTTCCATTGGCTTGTGAGACTAAAAGTGTTGTTACAGTTTGGAAGGAAAAAATTAAACTGTAGTGCTTGTGAGTGTGTTTACAGTATGTTCATGTTTGTCCGAAGAAGACGCCCAAAGTATACTCCGCTTTTTTGCACGTACATTAGTCGCACAGTGGAACGCAAACCTTTCAAATTACATTCCATTTTAATATGGTGCATTAACAGGTGCTCCATACTATCCGCACTACAAAGATTCATCCTTGTCCAATGTTTGCACATTTTCTCAAACATAATCAGCAAAAATATGTATTTGTATTAGTTTAAACTAGCATTAGTTTTATCCCCTTGCACAAGCACTCGTGAATGCAGTTATCTGTTGTTCTTACTATACTTAGTAGATTATTGTTGTTCTTGTTCGGTCTCCAGGGTTGCCAGGCCTGCATAACAAAACCAGCCCAATTAGTACTCAAAACTGGCCCAATCACGGCCAAAACTAGACCAATCACTTTACGGGGGAAATTGGCTATGAAAATCAGTTCAAATTCAGCTGCAGGACATGTATAACATTTTCCCAATTCCACGGGAAAACCACGGACTTGGCAACACTATCTGTCTCCTCTGCTTCTTTTCCAGCTGTGAAACAATGGCCCAAGCTAAATGAATGAATGAATAAATAAATAAATAATAAAAATTTAAAATGCATGTGTGACCTGCAAAAAAATAAATTCGTATGAAATGCATTGTACGCATAGTCTAGCATGCATGTAAAAATGTGTTTGTTGTACTCCATAGCGACCAGGCAGGTTTGAGTCTTGAAACAGGAACGATCTGTCTGATGTGCGATAATGGGCCCTCATTCAGCAAGGTAATGTTGGATGGTTTTGCACCTACTTGTGAATGGCTCACCAACATGTGCATATGAAAGTGCTCATTTTTACTTAAAAAGTTATTTACATAGTTCTCCATAACCAGATTTGTCTCAGAACTGATGTTTACAGGTTTGGCAAGGTGCTAAGGGCTACACACAATGGTAAGAGAAGATTACAGATACAAAAATAAATTTTTTAATTGTGAAAGTATTATTCACATTTATGGTATTCACAAACACCCTATAGTAGCAGAGTGGACATTAAACCATGCATGTTAATGCTAGTTTGCACTTATTTACTTTGTGTCATAATGCAGTTCCCTCTATTACTGCCTTGTTAGTCTTTTGATTCCCAATGATTTTGGTCAAAGCACATTGACTCAGTGCTGTTTTGCTCGTTTTGGTTATGGAGAGGACTGTGTGAGTTATTCATAAATGATTGGTCAAGCAGGAGTGCAAACCGCTATTGATCGTGGAAATTCAAATTATAGTTTGAGTGAGGTTTGCAAATTGTGGGGAATATAAAATTCAACTGGGGAAAAAAAAACCTGTAAAAAAATGCAGGGCTACTAATCTTAAATCATACACATGACAAATGTAACCTTAAAATTTCCTTCAGAAATTTCTGCTTATATGGTATATTTCATATTAAACAAAAAAATGTTATCAGCTACACAAGGGTGCACTTCACAGGTCTTCAGTTTTCCACTTGAGATTTTAACCAGACTGCGTTGGAGTGCATCGACATGAATAAATAATAAAATTATACTACTGTACAAAATATAATAATAATAATAATACTGTTTTTATAATATGTGATATATTAAATAACAATATATATTTTATAAAAGCAAAAATAAATAAATATAAAATAAAATAAACTAAGATTAATTAGTTTCAAATGTGAACCCCATTTTACTGGAAGCATTTTGTTCTCTCTATTTTTATATATAAGCAGTGGAATAACAAGATGCTAAATGTTTTTTATATTGCAGTTGAAATTGCAATCAATTTCGCATCATTTTGCACAGTCACTTTGACCCAGAAACACATTCTGAGTTTTATGTATCCAGCCAACATCTAAACGATCTCAGCAATGGCTTGGAGTAGAAATGCAATACTAATATAATTAGAAAGCTTTTTACCTTGAAGCAAAATGTGTTCCTCGGTCAAGATGACAAAATGATCAAGCAGGTATATGCATATATCTATGTTAAAAAATGTTTGACACTTTTGCTGTGTTTTTCCCACATGAATGTATATAGGCACATTTGTGAATAGCTGTTTATATGTAAATATAATGACAATCCACCAAAAAGTTTGTATTAGTTGCTATGATTGTTAATTATATCACTACTCCTCTCATTCTCACTGCCGAAAAAACAAAACTCTCAAAGAGGGATCAGGTCAAGAGGTGATTCTCTTATTTGAGCAGGAGGTGAGAATGAACAGGCCATGATCTCTGAGCCCCCAGAGTGGTGACACTGAAGAGGCCTGGCAGACTGCTCCTCTGTCAGCAGATGGGTGGCATCTATAATTCAGTCTGGAGACTGTTGCATGCTGCTTAATTTCATGTCCGATCACCACAGCTCTCTCACAGTCAGTGTAAGGAAACACAAGGGCCACATCTACCTCCTTAACAGTGACCCCTGAATCTGTATCGCACATGCCCTCCTGTCACACATAAAAGCTAAATGAGAACCAATAGACAGGTCTATAGCAGTGTAATGTGGCGGGCTTAAGAAATAATAAATTATTTTTAATCCACAGTAAATTAATGTTTCAGGTCCCTTTCTGGTGTAGGAAATTAATTAATTAATTGATTAATTAATTAACTCACTCACTCACTCACTCACTCTTCATTCATTCATTCTAATATATTAATACTTTTCCGAACATTTGTTAAAAACCTTTTTAATAAAATAAATCACACACAATATTTAAAAATTAATATTTATATAATTAATATTTAAAACTATTATTAATAGTTATATTTGATATTGATATTGATATTTATTCTTAATATTATTCTTAATAATATTAATCTTGATAGTTTAAACATCTGTTCAAAAATAGTTTTTAATAAAAACTGTATATATATTCTCACTACCAGTCAAAAGTTTTTGAACAGTACAATTTTTTATGTGTTTTAAAGAAGTATCTTCTGCTCACCAAGCCTGCATTTATTTGATACAAAATACAGCAAAAACAGTAATATTTTGAAATATTTTTACTATTTAAAATAACTGTTTTCTATTTGGATACATTTTAAAATGTAATCTATTCCTGTGATTTTAAAGCTGAATTTTTAACATCATTACTGCAGTCTTCAGTGTCACATGATCCTTCAGAAATATATATATATATATATATATAATATATATATACTGTATATCTAAATATATACTCCTAATATACAGAATATGCATAATGCATGATATAGCTACATAATAATATACTACTAATATGCAGAATATGCATAATGCACTATATACACATATACATAAAATAATTTAGGAATAATACAATAAAAGTGATAATCTCTAGGACAAGGTGACATGAGGGATGGCTATTAATATTAATAGTTAATGTCTTTTTTATGGTCGTTTTTTCAATTCCCTGTAAACACTGCAGGTGTCATGATGGTCACTGGATGTTTAATTTAACAGAGCTGAGTGGTCAATTAAAAATCAGCTCTCTCTATATATTATCATCATGTCAGTTTCACTTCCATTTGGATGTGATTAAATGTGATAATGTCTAAGTGAGTTATTTACTATGCCATTAGTCTATCCATTTCCACCAGTTTCCACAAATTTAATTCATTCAGTTGTGAACATGGCTTTTGATTGACAGGGTATACAGCTAATCCCAGAGAAGTAGAGGAGTTGTCTCTTCCCTGGCTGTATTTCATGAATTAATGCCGGTCCCGTGCGGTTGATGATGAATTCTGAGTGTCGTATTTGGCCGGTGGTCCTGGCAGTGGCCTAGATCCGGGCCCGAGGTTGACATGCATTTCATATGCAGACGGCGTGAGTGTGTGAAGGTCGAGGGGTGGCGGGAGTGACATCCTGTTTCACTTAATTCAGTTTCACTATGTACCTCCCCTCTCAGATGCTCTTTATTTAACAATTCCATCCACTTACTAGAAGAAATGTGTGTGTGTAACAGGAGGGAATGAGAAGACGGTGGGCCGTCTGTCAGGTCTGTAGCCTCCTTTAACCCAGAAGTGTTTGCTGATCCACCCACCCACGCATGCACACAGACATGGGCTAATGTAATATTAACGGCCACTCTCTCTGCCCGATCCAGAAAGGTCATTTTCTCAGTTCAGTCTTTTCTTCCACTTAATCCTCGTATTTTATTTATTTCCAGTGAACCCATATTAAAAATGTATTTTAATGATTTAGAATCAACAATGCAAAATGAAAAAAAGGAAAAATTAAGCTTTTAATTGAAATCATTCAAATTTGATACATATATTATTTATAACAATTATTTTTAATATTTACAATAATTCCTGCATTTCAAATTAATATATTTTGTCACAATATTTCCACATTTTCCAATATATTCATCTATATATATATATTTTTTTTTTAATCTAGCTCACCATTAACTCTTTCAATTGCTTCTCCAGATCAAACTACACATCCCATAATCCCACTTTTTCATTCAGGTCACATGATTATGAGCAAGGAGCAGATGGTACAGAGTCATGTGATGTTGTGAGCCGGGGTTGAATCTGAGAGGTTCTCCTGCGTCTGAGTACTAAGTGCTCTCTCAAGAAAAAGGGTAATGTATGAAAATTAGCTTTGTTCATTTGTGACTCTGGTTAAATGGATTGTTCTTTTCAGATGAGAATATGTCAGGTGGAGATCAGTGTTTAAAGACAGAGAGGAGGTGAGGGGAAGGGGGAGGGTAGGCCTGAGAGGATGCTCCCTTGTTACCGTGGCATTCAGAAAGAGCACTGTATGTTGGGATAATTGCATGTGATGTAATACATACAAATATAATGTCCCATCTGTTATGTGGGCCGAAGACTGTGTTTATGATTTTCTGTGTTAATCCTGAGCTGTGTTATTTGGTTTATCATGGCTGCGTGAGGGGCCTGGATTTTTTGGACAGCTTTTGTTTGTGTCTTGTCTTCTTCTGCTGCCCAATCAAATTTGGTTCAATCGTTTACTGTTTACTCTTCTGCTGACCACTTGTTTAATTAAACTGGCTATAATAAGCCTTTTGTTTTGCATTGTTGGTCAAGTGAACCGAGCCTCGTGTTTTCACAATGTCTGTTGTGAATATGCACATGATGCTAAACTATAGCTACTCAGAAATAAATGATTTTCAGTGGAATTTGATTCATTTAATTCATTCATTTAAATCTGAATGTAAGTTCAAAATTTTGAAATTCAAAGTTCAAAGAAATTAATGTAATCTCATGTAATTCACAATCTTTAACCAAAAAATCCATGTTGAATGCTGCCTTGACAAAGCTTTACAACCCCTGATGTTTAAAGGTTGATAGGCTTTACTATGTGTGTTTTGTATTTTATATCGTCTTTTCTCGTCCACTTTTTTTATTGCTAATTATACGATGTTCTCTCTGCTGAGGGCAAATGGGAAACTCATGTTTTCAGATGCGTAAGAAGAAAGTCGTAATTATTGTAATATGTGTTCTGCCATTTTACCACAACAGGTTTTATTTATATAATTCCATAATACTTTGAAATACAATTAAATCACAGCCCTTAATTCTATCACGTTTATTTATTGCACATTGAAATGGCAGTTTTCCAGCAGTGTCCCTCATTTTGTGAGGTTCATTTTGCTTGCTCACATTGCTACTGTTCATCTGCCGAAATCAGCCTTTCACCAAATTATTTAGGCTAAATGTCACATAGTTAAATTGCTACTGACTGAAAGTAAAATTCCCAAGGAGAGATGATATAAACAGTGAAGTGAAGGATCTTTACAAACTTTTTATATATATATATATATATATATATATATAAAGTTAGTAAAGATCCTTCATAATGGACAATTATAACTCTGGAATTGTTGCCTAAAGGAGCTTTTTCTTTTCTAATGGATGAACAATTTTGTATCTAATTTATTTTCAAACAAAGTCCAATGGTATTGGTATTTCTTTTGCATGGGCTAGTGTTGAAAAGCTAAATAGTTTACCACAGCGCTAGTATTTCTACAACTGCATTACAAATAAATTAAATAGGATTTAAATAGGCTAAAGATCAGAAACATCCCAAGCTGACTTTAATATAGTGGTCAGAAATGTATTTCAATTCATACTGAACTGTTCACACATATGATGCTTATAAATAATTTTATTTCAATTTGGTAGGGAATTTAAGTGGCTGTACACTCTTAAAAATAAAGGTGCTTAAAAGGTTCTTCACAGCGATGCCATAGAAGAACCATTTTTGGTTCCACAAAGAACCATTCGGTCAAAAGTTCTTTAAAGAACCATCTCTTTATTACCTTTTTATAATCTGAAGAACCTTCTTTCTTCACAAAGAACCTTTTGTGAAACAGAAAGGTTCTTCAGATGTTAAGAGGATACTCCACCCTAAAATTAAAATGTAGTCTTTGTCTTTGCATTCTTGGCGCTACAGTGATACGGAGAGACACGGAGGAGACAAATTGTTGAATAAGGTCGTTATTTTTGTTTTCTTCGCATACAAAAGGTATTCTCGTACTCATACTTTTCTGGACCTTGATGGTGTAATTTACTTGGCAGTCAATTGGACAGTCACAAGCCTCCCGGTTTTCACCCAAAATATCTTAAAGGTGACATATCATGAAAATCTGACTTTTCCAGGTTTTAAGTGCTATAATCAGGTCCCCGGTGCATCTACCAACCAAGGAAACGTGAAAAAGATTAACCCAATAACTTTATTTTGGTAAGTCTTTTTCTGCAAGCATCTGAGAAAACGAGTGCGTCTGATTTAGCTCCCTTGGTGACGTGGCAAAGGAATCTGATTATAATATTACGGGCCCTTAATCTGTAAGTTTACACCCACGGCGCCGTTATTTTATTTTCGCAAGCGACAACGATGTACCAGTTCTAATGCCATGGCGAAAGTTTGAGCAAATCATACTAACTGTTCTGCCTTTGTCTACACAGAAGAGCACAGAACACCATTTAGATCTAAAATAAACCTTAGATTTATTTCCCAGCAGTTTACCTTCATAGACATAATTGACTGTTTTTGTAACTTTGTGTGTTTTTAACGTAAACTTGTATGTGTGTGTGAATGAGAACTTAGTTTAGTACATGCTGTGTGGTGTCCGCTTTCTGTCCATGTTCTTCGGATGTGTGCGCTCAGAAAACCGTATATCAGAAGTTTAAACTCATATGGTTTAAACCGCATGATTTCAGCAAGATAAACATGATAATCAGAACCATAACAGATGTCTTTAGCAGGTCTGAGCTGGAAAAGGGGGCGCGGAGCAGCAGCTTATTTGCATTTAAAGAGACAGGCCCCAAAAAAAGCGTGTTTCTGCTTCCAGTCAAAATAGGCATATTCAAAATGATGTAATAAATGATCTATGGGGTATTTTGAGCTGAAACTTCACAGACACATTCTGGGGACACCAGAGACTTAAATTGTGTTCCAAAGATGAACAAAGCTTTTACGGGTTTGGAACGGCATGGGGGTAAGCGATTAATGACAAAATGTTAATTTTGGGGTGGAGTATCCCTTTTAAAGGTTCTTTATGGAGCCATTTAGACAAAAAGGTTCTTCAATGGCATCGTGAAGCACTTTTATGTTTAGCAAGTAGCTGTACAGGTTTCAAAACAAGTTTGCAGTGTATATTGCTCTGTTGATTCATGACAATCAGTCAATAAATCTCTTGTTTTCTGTTGCTGTATATGTTTGTTTACAATTACACTAAATGAGAAATGATTCACGATCCAAATGGAACCAATCCAGGATCAGGGCTATGTTTCCCAAAAGCATCGTAAGCCAAGCAGATTGGAGATCCATTGCCACCAATGGTCTCTACGATCAACTTATCTCACAAAGCTTTTGAGAAACGCAGTCCTGGACTGTGGTCTGCTAATTGTTACCTCTATGCTAGAGTGACTGCATTTTTAGTACAGTTTAGTCTCATATGTGTGTATTTATTGCAGCTAGACATTAAAAACCATTTCATGAGAGGCTTGATGAGATTTCTAAAGTGTCCCCCCACTTTTCGGATCGTTCCTATGCCCCTGCTGATAAGACTAATTGCAAAATAAGTCCGTTTACCTCAGCATGGATCACATTTGTTCAAGTACGATGGATTACATCATACAATCTCATTAATTAAAGCAAGTCTTTTTGGTTCAAAAGAAAGATAGAAGACTATAGAAGTGCAGTGCATTCTGATAACTAATTCTTATTCCCGTCACATTGCTCTCTTTCTCCACTTCACCTTATCAAACAAAACTGCTCTAGCCTTGCTGTCAGGGCAAGACAGTTCACATAGTCCTACTTGGGTTTTAAAGCAAACCTTGAGGCCCTTTTTAGTTCCCGAAGCTGCCAGACATCTCTCTCTGACTTCAATTTGAAGAAACTGGTGAGATAGCAAGAACCCATGTTCCCTACACCAGTGTGATTAAAATGCAATTACAACATCTCGGTCCACATCTCAGGACCACTTTCATGATTACATTCGCTTTTGATTAGGTTGAGAAAGCAAGTTGACACAATGGCATCATAATTAAGAAGGCAATTGTCACATCTCGAAAAATGGTGCATCGTTGGACATAATTTCCCTGCCAATCTAAAGATTATGCTGTGCTTGTGACTGGGGTGAGATTGGGTTGTAATTACTTGATTGCATAAGTAAGTAACTCAAAATCTGCGTAATTGGACTGCATTATGCAGCCAGTTGGGAAAGAGCCAGGCTGAGATTTAATATGTGTACCCCTGCAGACAAGAGGCTTCACCCAACAAGATAACAAGCCATGTGCTTTGGAGATGTGTGAGTAATGAGTGGACAACTGTTAGGTATAATTAAACTAATAATTGTTGTAATAAAAACTGCTCAAAGATAAGGTATTAGACACACGAGCTATTCAGGGTCATTTTAGTTTTTTAAAATGTTTCACTTGTGTAGCCAGATATTTAAATAAACTACAATCCCATAAAGCATTGCGAATGACTTAACTGAATAAATAAAAATATAAAAAATTTTAAGAAGCCATTTATGTTTATGAAAGATTAATTTATATGATAAAAATACAGTAAACAGTAATATTCTGAAATATTATTACATTTTAAAATACATGTTGTCTATTTTCATTAGAATTTAAAATGTTATTTGTTCCTGTTATGGCAAATCTGAGTTTTCAGCTGGCATTACTCCAGTCTTTAGTGTCACATGATCCTTCAGAAATCATTCTGATTTGCTGCTCAAGAAAGTTGAAATGAGTTGAAAACAAAGACTAAAGTTTGCTGAGATTTTCTGATTGGTGGATGTTTTTTCTTTAGGATTCATGGGTAGCATATTTCTGACCTGGAATTTGTCTGTTAAATATAGTTTTTGCTTTTTTTAATGAAGATGAAATTACTTTGGCAAATGGCAACAGAAACATATAATTAGTTACTAACCATATAGCTCATGTCTCTAGTCTTTTAAAGGTTTGTACAGGGTCATGTGAAATGAATTTAAATTTGAATTAATTAACCAATTGAAATGTTGCATATACCTGTAGCTTATTGGATATGTTTATTGTAAAACTACACCATATGGTTTGTGAGGAGTCATTCAGATGAAATGACATTTGA